TATTTTGAGCAGTTTCCTTTTATTTCACAATGTCTATCATGTCTCCTAATTTTATTCACTCTTTCAGGTTCTTACACTAGTGAGACAACACAATGTTTACATATGTGGATCTGATTTATTTCCCTTATGAGTGGTCTCCAGTTCTGACCATTTACTTATGAAAGCCTCGAATTTATCTTTCTTTATAGCTGAGTAATATTCCATTATATAAAAGTACCACAACTTTTTTATCTATTCCTCAGTGGATGGACATTTGGTTTGCTTCTACAATTTAGCTATTAAACATTAAGCTGCTATAAACATGGATGCACATATATCACTGTGATACAATGTTTTCAGTTCTTCTGGGAAAATACCCAGAAGGGGAATATCTGGGTTGAATGGAACCCCTAGACCTAGTTTGCTGAGGAACCTCCAAACTGGTTTCCACAGCGGTTTCACCAGTCTGCATTCCCACTAGCAGTGGAGAAGGGTTCCTATTTCTCCACAGCTTTGCCAGCATTTGTTATTGGTTGATTTCTTAATGATAGCTATTCCTACTGGGTTGAGATGAAATCTCAACATTGTTTTCATTTGCATTTCTCAAATGACTAAAGATGTTGAACATTTTCTCATGTATTTATTTGCCATTTGTATTTCTTTGTCTGAGAGGTGTGTGTTCATCTCAGATGCCCATTTCTGGATTGGGTCTTTGAATCTGGGAGGGCTGACGTTTTTTAATTCTTTATATGTTCCAGATAGAAGTCCTTTGTCCAAGAAACAGTCAGCTAAAATGTTTTCCCAATTTGTGTGTTTTCTTTTTACTCTGCTGTTAATTTCTTTAGATGTGCAAAAACTTTTCAATAAGATGAGATCCTACTTATTGATTCTTTGAAGTATTTCCCATGTGGTTTGGTTTTTATTTATGAGCTCTCTGCCTACCCCTATGTCTTCAGGATTTTTACCTACTTTCTCTTACAGTAGATTTAGTGTTTCTGTTTTAATACTGAGATCTGTGATCTATTTTGACTTGAGTTTGGTGCATGGTGATAGTCTTGGGTCTATTGTCAGTCTTCAGCAAGTGGCAGGCCAGTTTTTCCAGCACCATTTATTGAAGAGACTATCTTTCTTCCATTGAACTTATTTGGCCCCTTTGTCAAAGATTAGGTGGCTGAGTGTGTTTGTTGTTGTGGCTGTTCCTGTATACATCATATTGTTGGATTTTATTTCTTAATCCACTCTGTCATCTTTTTTTTATGACTGGTGAGTTGAGGCCATTTACATTAATGGTTATAACTGATATGTGTTGGGTTGTCTTTGTCACATTATTTATTTGCTGTTGGTTTCCTACTTTTTCTGTCTTTTTAATTGCTTGCTTTGCTTGAGGGTTCCTTTCTATTGTTGCTCTTGAAATTGTGGTCACTTTTTCCTCTGTCTAGAATATCTTTTAGTACTCTTTGTAAGGTTGGTTTGGCACTCATGAAGTTCTTCAGTTGCTCTTTGCTGTGGAAATATTTTATTTCTCCATTAAATTTGAAGGATAGTTTTGCAGGATACATCAATCTTGGTTGGAAGCTGTTTTGTCTCAGGACCTGTAATACTTCACTCCAAGCTCTTCTCGATTGGATGGTTTATGTTGAGAAATCTGCTGTGATTCTGATGGGTTTTCCTTTATAGGTGACCTGTTTCTTTTCTATAGTGGCTTTTAGTATTCTGTTCTTTTGCTGTATGTCTGGGATCTTGATCATTATATGTCTGGGTGTAGTTTTATTTTGGTTATGACTAGTTGGAATTCTATATGCCTCACTACTGTACATCAGAATCTTTTTCCATGTATGGAAATTTTCTGCTATTATTTCAACAAATATTGTCTTCATGTCTTTTGTGTTGCCTTCTGCTGTTTTGTTGACTCTTATTAGTCTTACATTATTCCTCTTTGCCTCATCTTGCAGCTGTTGAATTTATTTTTTCCTGGTTACTTGTTTTTCCTTTGTTGTTGTTGTTGTTGTGTTGTTTCTGGTACCAGGAATCGAACTCACGACCTTGCACTTGCCAGGCAACCGCTGTGCTGCTGAGCTATATACCCAGGCCCTGGTTCTTTGTTAATTTTAAGAGATCCTTCCTTTCACAATCATTAGCTGCCATGCTGTCTTCAAGAACTGAAATTCTATCTTCGGCTTTATTCATGCAGTTTTGCCAGCTTTTAATGGAAGTTTTGATTTCCTGGATATCTCTTTGAATCTGTTTCATGTATTCTAGTTCTGTCCTGTATTTTTCATTTAACATTTCCATCAGTTTCCTATGCTCATCTATTTTTTATATATGTCTTCTTTAGATGTGCTGAGCAATTCTTTCATTATTGTTGTCATCTCATTTTTTACCTGAGACATTGTTTCTGATCTGATGTCTTCTATGGCCTGTTGGTCTTTTACTTCCACTGCAATCATTTCAGCCATTTGAGGTGTGTGTTTACCAAGTTCTCCTATGTTGATATCTCCTGGACTTGTTCTGGGTGGGGTGGAGTTCTGACATTGCATTTAGTCCTTCATTTTGTCATGTTTGATGCCAGAAGCAGAACTCCCAGTCTCCCTCTTCCCTGGCAGCTCAGCAAAGGTCGCAAGCCTTTCTAGTTATCCTGGTGGTCAAACTTGCCCCTCAGTGGCCACCAGGATGAGCTGCTTACTCTCTGGTCTTCTGGTGCTTGATGTAGTGTACCTAGTTCTCCTAGGTCCCAGACATGAACCACGTTGTCTACAGATCACAGACCATCTACTCAAGTGTACCCAGGCAGCTCAGGTCATGTGTATGACCCAGAAGTGGGCTGCACTGGTAGCATGATTACAGACCACTTGGTCCTGTGTCCCCAGACAGTTCAGGGTGCAGGCAGAGCCTAGACATGAACTGCAGGGTCAGCAGTTCGTGGACCGCCTGATGCAGTGTCTCCAGGCAGCTCAGGGCACACACAGGAGCCAGACTCAGGCTGCACTGGTGGTGATCATGGACCACCTGTTTCTGTGACCTCCAGGAGGTCAGGGGATACAAAAAGCCCAGAGGCAAAGCTGCAGTGTCAGCAGTTCATGGACTGCCTGATCTAATACCTCAGGTGGTGCAGGGCACACACAGGGAGGGCCCAAACACTAACTCCAGTGTTAGCTGTTCATGGGCCTTCTGAGCCAGTATCTCCTGGCTGCACTTGGTGCATGGAGTGGAGATACAGACTGTAATGGTGGCAGGATCTTGGGTCACCTGCTCTGTCCCCAGGAAGTAGGTAGGGTCTACCTGGTTCTCTTGGCACTCAGCCTCAAACTGTGAAGTCAGCAGATCAAGGACCTCCTGATTCCATATCTCCAGGCAGCTCAGGGCATGCAGGAGCCAGGCACAGGCTGCACTGGTGGTGATCACAGCCTGCCTGTTTCTGTGACCTCCAGGAGGTCAGGATGCTCGCAAGGCCCAGACGTGAACTGTGGTGTCAGGCAGTGCACAGCACATGCAGGGAGGGCCACATGTGAACCCTGGTGTTAGCAGTCTGTGGGCCTTCTGAGCCTGTATCTTCTGGCTGCACCGGGTGTATGGAGGGTGGAGACCTGTGTTCTGTATTATATTGTTCCCCTTGCAGAAAAAAAAGAAATCCCAAACTAATACAGCTAACAAGCAAGGAAACTGTTTTGTGGTCTATGCATTCCACAGAGTAGAGTTTCCATGAACAGGCTTTAGAAACAAACAATTGGAAGAGTACTCATCAATTCTTGAAAACTAGCTGTGCATGTGGCAGAGGTAATTCTATCACGCTGGGAAGCTGAGGCAGGAAGATTTTAAGTTGATCCCGGTCTGGAAAACTTAGCAAGACTGTGCCTCAAAAACAGAAAAAAAAAAATTTAAAGGGCTGGTGATGTAGCTCTGTGCAAAAGCCCTGGGTTCAATCCTAGTACCACAAAAAAAAAATCTGTAAAACTGATTTTTGAACTTTGTATGCAGTTCATATTGATATTCTTACTGGAAGAAATGTCATCAGATCCTCTCTGATTCAGGAAGGGTTAAGAACTAAAACCTTAGGTGATGAGACTCTTGATGGAAACGATGAAGTTTTGCTTAGTTTTAGTTTTTTAGGTTTTTTTTTTTTTTTGGTACTGGGAGTCAAACTCAGGACCTTGTGTTTTCTAGGCAGGTGCTGGTGCTGCTGAGCTATATCCCCAGCCCCTAGTGTTGCTTATTTTTAATCTCTATATCTCACACTTACAGGGCATTCAGGACAGTTAAGCAAATCCTTGGTACATACCAGTAAATATAACAAGTGAGTATGCAGAAGCAACCAATAGGTTATTTTTACATTTTTTAGACAACTTTTTTAGGTCCTCAGCTAGGCAGCATACTGGTTCCTCAATGTTCCTTAAAAGTATTATTTTCTTAAAGAGACTATAAAATGTGTAATTCTCACCAAGATATACTCACTAAATATATGCTCTTCAAAATGAGGTTATATGTGGTCCTTTAGTCTAAGCTTGTTTGTTACCTTAGGTTTCTGCTGCTTGTTTTACTTTAGTTACTTTTTTCTCATCCAGCCCATAAAATTTGACCTTGGTCATCAGCTAATCTGGTACATATCAATAATCACTAACAGACATCTAAGGATCTACCAGGCAGTCTCTAGAAAGATGGGTACATTATTTCCAGGTCCAGATACCATGTTAACAGATAATTGCCTCTTTCCAGCTTCAGCCACCTTCTCTTCTTAAAAATAGGGAGAAAGAGTTATGCTAGCAACTGTTACAAGGTAAGGAAAACCAACAGAGCAAAATCAACAGAAAAGTGACTCCTAGACAGTGTAAGCCTAGCGCCTTTTTATGGTGTTTCCGTTTGAGAAGCAAGTATGATGTATACCATCCAAATAAAGAAGTCTCCTTAGATATATTGAATTAACAGCAAAGGAATAATTTTATAAATATTATTTCACAACATAATCATTGAAAACAAAGGAGGAAAATGAGGTTTGCAGAAATAAGTCACTTCCCTTAGATTCTTACCATCTTATAGAGATCTGAGACACTGATCTGGTCGGAATCCACTACTTCAAAGTCTTTCCGAGGCACCAGGTCCAGGCCCAAATGCCTAGTAAAGAGAAAGACCACATTTATCATACCATGTCCACAGTATTCATCTCTCTTCATGTTCCTGGAAATCAGTACAGTCATGATGTCATGGACAGCTGTTCAGGTACTGCCCTGGGAGCTACCTGCCCACATTCAGCAACATCTAATTGTGTTCACTTTTGGGTAAATAAGTAAGGTGAGCAGAATTCTGGTCATCAACCAATTCCATCTGTGATGATAAAAAGATTTCTCAGTGTTACATTTATAATAGAAACCTGGAGTTCATGAAGGATGATTTTCTTTAGACCATTAATAAGTCATTTTTTTTTCTATTTCCCCTATCCTACTAGTATGCTTAAGGTTCACCAATTCATGATTTTCATTAGAATGAAAAAATTCTCCAGGGTTCATGTAGATCTGTAATTCAAAGTCAACAAATAAAAATCCCCTCTGATTCTGGTAAAGGCCTGACCATATATTTGTACCAACATCTTTAAAAACATTGCATAGAAGTTTAACCCAAGAATAGTACTACTTAAGACAACAGGAAATGTAGTGTGATTTTGGACAGGAAGAAGTGATGATAATTTGGATGACTGGGTAGTAGAATTAAGGAGTGGAAATTACTCTAGACACAACCAAACTTCTTGAGTCAAATATGGAACATAATTTATATTCAGTAAATGTTAGCTCCTTTCTTACACTCTAAAATAATAGATCTAATCCTATAGTTCTGTGGAGTTACAGGGTTGTGAACCTCTGTAAAACTGTTTAAGACACTACATGAGGTGTGTATGTGAGTTCATACTTGAATTTGAATTTTTTTTGAGGAGATCTACACCTCTCAGGAGATTTCAGAAATGCTCTATGGCCAGCCAACTCAAAAAAAAGAGGTGGCAAAGTATTCCACAGGACTTCTGAAAGAGAAACATTATTCCCTTTAACTTGACTCTGAACTATTTTTAGAACATACTAGCAAAATTAATTCTTCAGTTATTTTCTGTATATAAAGACTCTACTCATCTAATAAATTCAGGGGCTTTGGGAATATGGTTCAGTGCCACATCTTTTCTACCTCACTTTTCATAAAAAGTAAATTATATAAAAGATAATTTTGAAGCACAATCACAAATATTTAAAATGCTTCTATATGCATGTGGAAAAGAGTGGAAAAATAACAAAAAATGATATTAGTATTTATATTAGGAAATTAGAATTACAAAATCCATCTTTTAAGATGTTTTCCAAATTTTTATTATATGTTATATAACAAACTTTTTTAAATTATAAAAATAAAGAAATAATATTACATACATATTCTTTAATCACTGGAGTTTCCTTTGCAACCATGGGGGATTGATTCCAGGACCCCCTTATGGATACCAAAATCTGAGCATACTCAATCCCCTTACATAAAAGTGGTGTGGCATTTGTATACAGCCTACACAAGCAATACATTTTCCTGTATGCTTTATATCTTTTGTATATTATGTATAATTCTTTTTTTTTTTTTTTTTTTTTTTTTTGGTTTTTCTCCGGTACCGGGAACCGAACTCACGACCTTGCGCTTGCCAGGCAGGCGCTTTTGCCACTGAGCTAAATCCCCAGCCCCTATTATGTATAATTCTTAATAAAACATAAATGCCAGGTACAGAGTTGTTATGATGTATTGTTTAGGGAATAACAAGAAAAAACAGATACAATTTTTTAAATGTGAAAACATTTTTAAAAATATGACTGGTTGAATCTGAATGCAGAAGCCAAAATTACATGGAATACTCCAAATATTGCAATTAGGAAATAAACAGATAAAAAGGACTAAATAAATAATCAAACAAAAGAGATGTTTTAGATATAACAATTTAAGAAAGGCTCAGGTGACATCTAAGTCAGTGAGGATGGAACTGAATATATGTGCTCTTCTGTTAGTGCACCACACACAGTGATGAGCCTATATGGCATCTATATAAACTCTGTCATAGCACTATGGCACTGTTACCTTGCTTGGGCAGTAAACCACCCACCCACATGCCCATACACTCCCTCCACAGATATTTTCTGAGGTCATATCATGTGTTAGACCAAGAGTGTTGGATACATGGAATATAGTAATTTTGAGCCAAGCAAACGTTTGTATTCATTTTGTTTTTCCTCTGAGAGCAGAGTGCTTTCCCTGTCCTCTCAGTGGCTACAGCACAGTACCTTTCAGTTTCTTGATTTCACAATCTTGAGAAATAAGAGAATGAATGACTAATGGGTGATCTCGTAAAAACTGAAGGCTAACTTCCTTCTACTAAAACTGTCTTCAACAGAAAAAGGATAATTGGCAAAAATTAAATTAGTGAATATCCTCTCTGGAAGCAGGCAAAGATGTTGCACATGAGAAGCAATACATGGTGACTACCAATTTTACCAGGAAGAAGAGGTTCCTGGCTAGTACATCCTATGGCTTACTTAGGAGCAGTGAACACAGGGATTGGTCAACATATTCTCTTGTCTATCTTCAAAGCAAAATCAGGCAGTGCAACAGAGTAGTCAGGAGCATGAGTGATAACGTCAGCTTGGTTGGTTTGCATTTGGGCTTTTCTATCAAGTCATTCTGTCTATCACAAGCTGTAGTAAGGACTAATCTATGTAAAGCACTTAGTGCATCAACTGGAAAAGTGAACCACTACTGGTGCTATAGTAATTACTATGATGTGTCATATAATTAGCCAAAATATGGCTTAAAGTACAGGAATTGTGATAAGAGGTATAGTGTTTAAATAAAAAACTCTTTAAACAGGAGGATACAAGCAGGGGGCAAGCATCTATGTATACATACAGATGTAGCATAGAGCTGAGTTTTTAAAGTCTTACTAACTGCTAAGGTGAACAGCCTATAAAAACACTAAATCTCCCCTAACTTACCACTAATCGATCATTCATTCATTCCAAACTTCAATGAATATTTATTAGAGCCTATTCTATGATTGGCTTATGCTGAGTTTGGGGACACAGCAGCAAAAAACATACTCCCAACTCTGTATTCTTTCAGGTAGAGCTCTCTGAGGCTCTGAATCTCTATATCAAATTTTTTGAATTTTACATTTATTTTCCATGTTCTGTATTAATGATGGCAAACCTTTTAGAGCTTTCAAAGATAACAATCAGCTGGCTGTGGCACGTGTGCCATTGGTTCACTACCACTGTTCTATATTCTATTCTATTTTGTCTTTTTCTCCTGGTAATACTCATCTGAATCAAAGAAAATAACTGGAAACAAACAAATCTGAAACATAGAATATAAGGTAAAGTTAAGTAATTACAGTAGACCTTAGTTCTCTCCCAGAATTAGTTGTAGAAGTATGGAGATATTAGGGGCTGGGGATTTAGCTCAGCGGCAAAGCGCCTGCCTGACAAGTGCAAGGTCGTGAGTTCGGTTCCTGGTACCGGAGAAAAACCAAAAAAAAAAAAAAAAAAGAAAGAAGTATGGAGATATTTGGACTTCCTGTGGGCACTGCCCTTTTCTAATGCATTTAATAGAGTATACAGATAACTATATTAATAAAAGCACAGCTTATTTATATAACTTAAAATATGTAAAAACAGCCATCTTTCACTGAACATTTATGAGAGAGACAGAGACAGAGATGAAAGGAGATGAAATGAGGAGATGGGAGGAGAGAAGAGAAGAGATGAGAGAGGACAAGACAGAAGAGAAGAGGGGAAAGGGGGAGGGGGAGGGGAAGGGAGAGGAAGGGAGAGGAAAAGAGGAGAGGGGAAAGGAGAGGAGAGGCAGAGATACACACTGAAACATAAAACTTGAAGGGTTTTGACCACAAACACTTTGAACAGAGCTAGGGCCCATCCCAGACTTCTGGAATATAGCAAGACACTGATTGGTGAGTACAACACCAAGTATCAGAAAAACCCTAACTGAAAAGTCACTGAGTACAACACCAAGTATCAGAAAAACCCTAACTGAAAAGTCACTGGGAATTTCAATTAATTTCAGATGCTCTGAAGCTGGAAAGTATCACTATACTCAGGGAAAGTGCTGAGCCACAAATCTTTCTGAGTCCTAGCTAAGCATGTCCTCAGGAGAAACTCACTGAGAGGTATTTTCTTCAGGTGACAAATCAAACTACTTTGTGTTGCTTAATCTAAAAGCAATTACCTTGGTGAAGGCCATAAGCCAAGTGGGAAGGAAGGGATATAGATGGGTTAGGTAGGTGGAATCTGAAAGAGAAAGTGGAAAAGAGAGGGAGGGACAAAAATGACAGAGGAGAGTGAGGGAAAGAAAAAATAACTAGAATTATAAATTATTAGTGATTTTTCTTAAATTTCATGACTTCACAAAAGACACTATTTCGGCTGGGGATTTAGCTCAGCGGCAAAGCACCTGCCTGGCAAGCACAAGGTCGTGAGTTCGGTTCCCGGTACCGGAGAAAAACCAAAAAAACAAAAAAACAAAAGACACTATTTCACTTGAGACAATGTATGAAAATATTTAAAATCAATAAAAGCTTATAAAGAATTTCTACCTAAAGTAGGCAAATTCTATACATTATTCTAAGAATGAAATATTTCTTACTTTGGTATTTCTCTAAGGCAGAGATCAATGGTGCTCTGTCAGTCCTGGGTTACTGCAATTTTAACTTAGCTATACTATGTTTACTTAGTGATGAAGTAGAGACTGAGAAGAAATTTAACATCTTAATGAAAGGTATGAATGTTACATTAATAAAAATTGCACTCTTAGATAAATTATTTTTTTATAATCACTTGCGAGTGGATATAATTAACAGACCTAGTCTCTATATGGGACACTTTAGCAGAGGTAATGGCTAGTTAATTGGACATAAATTTGTATCATACCATTTATGTATGTAGCTCCTAATATTGGAAGAACACAATATTATAAGTGTTGATATAATTTTAACAATTTTAAATTATGGAATGATTCTACACATAAGCAATGGACCAGTAAATATGTCATATAAATCCACGGCCTGAATCTTCAAATTTTGGCCAAATAAGTAATTCCTAATTGGAGGATACAAAATAAAAATTGTTGCTACATACATGTGGAAAGTTCTGCATTTAATTTAAAATCTAAACAAAGATTACAGAACCAATATGGTTTATGTCTTCAGATGTTCTAACTGAATATTAAATCAGACATATTATAGAGCATGAAATACTCATATTGGAGAATAAAACAAAGATCAAATAGTATACTGACTACCAATACTGGCAACAAGTTGCCTGGTCTTAAGACTCACCGAAATAATTTGATGGTAAGGCTCTGCAAAAGGACTGTATACAGCAATTGGGATCAGTTCTAGGCATAAACAGCAGGTCTACCACTCACTGTTCTATACAACATGGGAAAAGGTGCTTCTCAGCCTTGCCTTCCTCAGTAGGCAAAATACAGCTATTGTCTTAGAAGGGCACAGTAGTATTTCATTATAATAGTGCATATAAGTAAGACCCATATACTTATCATAGTAAATGTATGTGCTGAATATACTATTAATAGCCATTAATAGTTTATAAAATAGATTCTAAAAATGCAGGAATATAATATATGTCTACAAGTTTATAGAGAAGGCATAAAAATTTTAAATCATATATGCATATTTACATCAAATAAGAAACTAAAATATATTCAAGCAGACATTGTACATCTACCACACATCAACAAGTGTTCAACTTCAATACAGTATTGTATTTATGAAAGTCTGCTGGAACAAGAAGTGTAGAAATATTGGGGCATAAAACTGGAACAATGGATATGGTTATCAGTACTCAGCTTTTGTGTCAGTCTCATCATACTGCATAAGCTAGTGGTATTAAATGACTTCATTTTCACAGTAAACCATCTCTTCTTTCAAAATACATAGAATGTAAAAATGTAAAAGAATAAATTCAAGCAATAAACAGAACATTCCTAACAATTTGAAGCAAGATGTCTTTTTCTTTTAATAATGATATACCTATAAAGTCCTTTTCTAGGTTTTTAAGTGACTGTATTTTCTATGGGTAGGGAAAGAGAAAATTTTCTGTGGGTAGGGAAAGGAAGATAGGATGGAAGGAAAAAAGTACATAAAGACTAAGAAAGGAATGAATATGGAAGGAGATGGAGTAGTAAAAGGGGAAAAGAAAGAAAGGGGAAAGGAGGAGAAGGAAAAGTAGAGGAGGGAATGGAACTTTGTTTCTCATGTTTATTAAAATGGAGATATAAATACCCCTTACAACACACACAAACTTCATTGAGAAAGTTATTAATGATGGTGGAGTAGTTCTGTAATTTACTAAGAGATACCTATAATGTTCCTAGCTTTAAGGATAATTTGAACTTGTTCCTAAACTATCACCTTTACATTATTATCTTTATGATTGTGAAACCTGATTGGTTTGTTTTCCAAGCTTCATAATAAAGAAGTACTGATACTTCAAAAATAATTATTTTCTTTATTTACTAGTTTTATAGTTGCAGTTCAACTGTAACATGACAAATTACACAACTATTAGTGTCTTCAGTTCAAGGGTAACAATTTGGTAAAGAAGTTATTTTATGTTTGCAATTATTGTGACTATTGATTTTCAAAATAAATGTAGCAATATCATTTTATACTATTGTTTTGGGCCAAAGAGTTAGAATTAGTAGCTGTAAGCTAACATATTATACTTTATTTCTTCATTTCCCCAAGTCAAATTGATCTATGTAAACTGTCAATGAGTCTTTGGTTGACCAGTATTGCATGTCTATATCTGTTTTCATGAGAAGCCACTTTGAAGATATCAATATGTAATACAACCACCATTGTTAATTCCCTACCACTTTGTTTGGAACTCTGTATTGTCTGTATTGTGCTTGTGATATGTTGTAAAATGTTGTATGTCTGTTAATGTTTCCCTCCTTTTATCCTTAAAATAAAATTAAAAAACAAAACAAAACAAAACAAATTGATCTATGTACACCTGAATTCATGTCATATTATACAAATTGTCTGTAGTGCACCACAATCCTGTTTGCAGTCAAGAGAAGATATAATTAAACAAAACAAACAAGAATAGGATGTTATCCCTTCAAAAATATTACAAATAACCAATTTAGTATTTATTTTTCTCTTTTCTATTGATGACCAGTACCACTCAGTTGGGTTCACCCACATTTATTAAGATGCCACATTTTCAACTTCCTGTTTTACTTTCTACTTTGCAGGAGCATATTTCAAGTCCTTTCTACAAAAAAGAACCATAAAAAGTGGCTAGTATATATCTTTGAATTCCTACAATGACTTTATTTGGTCCTCAAATTTAATAAGATAGTTTGTTTATAAAACTGACTGGTAAATCATTTCTCTACGGAACTCTAATAAAAGTACTTATTATCTTCTAGCATTCACTGTTAATAGTAACAGTTTTTGGTTTTTTTTGCCAGGGGTAGTGGGAGAGACAGGGCCTTGCTATGTAGTTCAGGCTGGCCTCCAATTAATGGCAATCCTCCTGTCTCAGCCTGAGCACTGCTGAGTGCTGCTGAGATTACAGGTGTACACCCCTATACCCAACCAACAGTAACATATTTGAGGCTGCTGTAATTCTTCTTGTTTTATAAGAGAATCTGTTTGTTTGTCTTAAAATCTTCAGAGAGCTTTTCTTTATCCCTAGAATACTAAAATATCTTAATGTGCCTCACTATGGGCCCCCTCCATTCATTAAATAAAGTACATGGTGGGTCCTTTTAACCCAAAAACTGTTATTTTTGGGGAAATTATCTCTTTTTTTCAGAATTTCCTATACATCTCCTTTGTTCTGTTTCTGAAAATTATAATTCCTGATGTTGGATCCCCCAATAAAGTCTCTATGTTAAGCTTCTTTCTTCAGTTATTTTCCATTTTCTATTTTCAAGAAGACTATGAAAACTTTTGTTTTCTTATCATGAATTTTATTTTATTTTATATTTATTTTTTGTCTTTCTGAGACAGGGTCTTGCTATGCAGTTCAGCTGGCCTTGAGCTCACTTTGTAGCCCAGGCTGGGCTCGAACTCACAATGATCCTCCTGCCTCAACCTCCCCAACGCTGGGGTAACAGGCATGCACTACCACACCCAGTCTGTGAATTTGTATTTTGAAGTTACATTTCATTCCTTTCCATAAAATCTTATTTTACATAGTGGGTTTTCTTGAGTCTATATGAGGATATTACAAAGTTTTGTCTTTTTTTAAAGTTCTTTACAAATCCCTAATTTTCTCTTGGGACAGGTTATTTCCTCCAGGACAAGATATTTAATTCTTCCTGGTTTCTCTCTGTGCTACACAATTTCTAATACCTTGTGCTGCTTGCTTGTTCAGTCAGATCTGACATACACTAAAAGAAATGTAGGGAGTTTTTGTACCTGAGTGGGTGACTGGCAGGCTTGGGAGGGATGTGGTCATTATACTTTGAAACTTAAATGGCAGAACAACAAGGTCACAGTTTAATTTCTTAATACCCAATTTTTCCTCCAGACTGTTGATTTTCATTTGTTTGTATGCTCACTGGGTGCATTATTCCTTATATACACTGCTAGGTCAGCCCTTTTCTAATCTCTAAGGTCCACTTGCAACCCTCCTTTCATTGCATCATATTCTGTCTACTTCCCAGCTTCCAGAAATGGGTTCATACATCTCATTTATTGCTCGGCCCCTTCTCATTCCTTTTATTCTCTGTTATTTCAATGACATCTTGAGAGGAAAAAGAGCTTCAAATGCATACTTAATATACTTCAAGTATATGTATATATCCTGTAGTATACAGGAAGAAAGCAACCTGATTACTTCAAAGTTCAACGGACCTGATTTTAAGAGAATGAGACAGAAGGACCTAAACTTTACATCAATTATTGCATCTATGATGAAATAACATCTGAATACTACCTACCCTAACTTCCAGTGCCAAAGTCTTAGAATTTTACTCCAGGGCAGTAACAAGTTATCAGATTCACAGGAGTCTTTGTTTTCTCCTTGTCTTTTGGCAGCATCTGGGGTTGAACCCAGGGCCTCTGCGCTCAACTTTATCGCCACGGTCTTTGAATCATTAAAATGAAGTTTGGATCAGGTTCAATTTCCACGAGGCCCGAGTTATCATATGTAACACTAAGAGATGCCCAAATAACATTTATACTTACTCGTTACCCCAGTCCAGGCGCACGGTGATGTGCCGCTTAACCTCCCGCACCTGATCCTGCGTCAGGTGACCAGATAGTAGCTGCCTTCGCAGGTCAATAAGTTCATTCATCACATGGCGTAGTTTGTAGAAAAGATCTACTTTGTGTTTCTGAAAGGACATTTTTGATGTTGGGTGAAATATACCAGGGGTATGGAAAAGGAATGAAAACAGAAAGAGAAATAGTTAAACTATGAAAAGTGATCATTTCTCTGAACCGTAAAGACAATGTAAAGAGGAGCTAAGTTAAAAATCTTAATCTTTAATTCCTGCTATTTAAAAATCTGGACATAATAACATCTAACAAAGTAATACAGACAATGTGGCTCACACAAAAGCACCACCTCTACTCTATCCTGGACCACACATGTCTCAGGGAATCAGAACTGTTAAGTATAATCACAACGGTGACTTGTACACAGCGCCGAAAGCACTCTGCTCTGACAGGAGTTATATGGCATTGAACAGCAACGGTGTCAACCATCCAGCAACAAATCTAGTTTCTCTGGGAGGGAAACACGAGTTGAAAGAGGAACAGGGAGAATCATTTACCCTATTTTAAAGCACCCAAGGTTTCAGTATAAAGCCAACCTCTTTGGAGTGAGACTCGTTCTGTGGTTTCTAGGCCTCATCTAGCTTGCTAATTAGCTTTTCTAAACAGGGTTGAGTCCCTAGAGCCACAGATTTCTAGTCTTTCCAGATTAATAAAAAGTATCTCCTTTGCAAGAGTTAAATACAAACAGTATAGTAAACTTAATTATGGACATTATAATGGATGACCTTACAGTTAAAAAAATACATAACCTGAGACCAGATACTTCAGAAAAAAAGATGTAAAGAACAGAGATTTAAAAGCTGAAATTCTAAAGTCAAGCAAAATCTTTTTTTTTACTTTCTTTTTTTAATTTTAAAAATAAAAGGAGGAAAACATGAACAGACAGAGAACCTTTTACAAAATAACAAAAGAACAGTACAGACAATACAGAATTACAAACAGTGGTAGGAAATTAACAATTCTTATACTACATATTGATATCTTCAAAGTGGTTTCTCATGAAAACAGATAGAGACATGCAATATTGATCAATCAAGGACTCACTGCAGTTTCCTTCAGCAAAGAAATAGAAGACAGTAGAACAACTATGTTAACTATCCTGTGTATACATACAAGAAGGAGAAATTTTGCAAAATCTTGACTTTAGAATCTCTAGAGTCCTCTTTCTGTTAGAGACAAGTATAATTTTGAATAATTAAAATTCTGACAATGTAACACAAAAATGCTTTTAAAGACAAACATGAACCATACTGTTAGTAAGATATATATGTAAGATTTATCATTTAAAAGCTTATTTGCCAAAACAAGCTTGATTTAGGTGAATATAAATAATGTATAAAGCAAATTATATAATAGTAGAATTAATAAGTGGTTTTAGGTGGCAGTGGTCTAATAATTAAAATGTTCAGAACATCATACTAACTTTGAAAACATCTAATGGAGCATCAGACTGTTGTTTTTAGACAGGTTCTTGCTATGTAGTTCAGGCTGGCTTTGAACTCATTATGTAACCCAGGGCAGCCTCAAACTTGCAGTGGTCCTCCTGCCTCAGCCTCCTGAGTACTGAGATTTACAGCTGTGTACCACCATGCCTGGCTGGAGTATTAGACTTCTAAAGGTTCAACTTATAGAAAAATTATAAATTAGAAGAACTTAGGAATCCTGTAGCCTAACTATACCAAATAATTTGTTATCCTTTCTTTAGTTAATAAATAGTTGAAGAAAAGATAAGAACCTTAACAGTAAACAATGCTGGGAAAAAGGCAAAATCCACAAATCCCTGCCAGCTCAAATAGCAGAAAGATCTAAGGAAATGCATCATAGGGAGAATTAGAATGTGGATGGTAAGAAATAAAAGCAAAGGGAATGTGCTCTACCATACTCATTTATTCTTGATCAAACAGAATCACTGAAGCTTATACTACAACATTAGAATTACTATTTTCTTAGCAAATTATACGCAGCAATTGCATACATGCATACATAAGCATTCATCTATTCAATGAATAAATGCTTAGGGAACAACTGCTGAGTGCTATCGCTTTGTTGTGACCAAAAGTCCCTGTTCCCATGGCATTTTCCTTTTAGAGAACAGAAAATGGACAGTACACAAATAAGTAACTAAAATTGTGATAATTTTTAAAAAGAGAAACTAAAGTAGTGTAGGGATGATGAGTAGCCGCGGGTGGCTACAGGTTAGAGGGAAGGCACTGGGTCAGTATAGGAGCCAAGGAAAGACTTCTCTGAGAGCTGAATTTTGAGTAATGCTTTGAATTCAAGTAAGGTAGCAGAAGAGAAAACTGGGGAAGTTTTTTTTGTTTGTTTTTTTGTTGTTGTTGTTAAGAAATAAGCCCAAAAGCTTTCATGTGGCAGTGTACTTGGCATGTCAAGGAAGAACAAAGAGATCAGTGTGCATGGAGAAAAGGTATGCAGAGAAATATTAACGGCCAGATCAGGGAGGAACTTTGAACAGCATGTTAAGGATTTGGCTTTTACTTTAAGCAAGATGGAAAGTGACTGAAGACCTAAGACTGAAAGCATTTGATTTTGGTGGGCTAAATCTGACACTGGGTTCTGATGGTTAGGTCAGGAAAATTAGGAGTGTCTAATAGAGGAAAGAAGGAAGGAGTAAGCAATGAGATGAGAGGGACAGTAAGGGAGCAAGGTGTCATGGAAGCCAAATTAAAACTAGTTGTAAGATGGATTCTATCAAATGCACTGTTAAATACATGTGGAATCGTTTCAGATTAGAGACCAATGAAAGACTCTTTGCACAAAGGAGTTCAAAAGACAGACTTTATTTGTAACGCCGGTCAGCCAAGGAAAACTGAGTTTTCAAGTCATCGACCTACAGTCAGGTTTGAGTTCAGTTTAAATATGGTTTGCAAGTGAGGTAACAGGGTACTACATGATTGGTAACACAGAATACAAGAATTACATCATACATGGTCAGGCAAAACCATGCAAGGGTCGACCAGAGTTAATATGTGTCCTTGATTTGGCCAGTCTTTTTTTTTTATTATTATCTTAAAGAGAGTAGTAAATGAGAAACAAACAAAAACAAATAGAACAGTAGCAGCATACCAGTATCACAAACAAAAATAAATCAAAGCAAGAACACTCAAAGTGATATAGAGTCTCAAGACAAAATAATATGAATCAACAGTGGTTGTTACATTACATATCACTATCCTTAATTACACTGCTCAGATTACCAGATTAAGAATGAAAGATTGCTCAAACCATTATAGGGAAGGGGCTGGGGATGTAGCTCAGTGGCACAGCGCCTACCTGGCAAGTGCAACGTGGTGAGTTCATTCCCTGGTACCAGAAAAAATAAAAATAAAAATTTTTTTAAAAACCCAAAATGAAAAACCATTATAGGGAATAAGAAAGTAATTCTTTGATAAAACAGTAGAGATAATACAAAGTGTCACTAGACAAGAAGGTAGGAGTTCACCATTGTAATCAAATTGCATATTGTTACCTTCAAATCAGTTGCTCAGACCACCAGACACAAGCATGCACAATCGATCATAAAAACTGTAATCATTAACTGTTCATTTCAATAGATCATCAGACATCAGCAATAGAGTTATCACAGCTATTCATATATATGTTTATATTTTGGGCTCCTTCTATCTTTCTTCTCCTTTCCCTCATCCCACTCATTCCTTCCTTGGAGCAATTTCTTTCCCTTTCCGATCATCTATTGTATGTTTTGAGTTTTACCTAGTCTTTCAGGTTCCTACACCAAGGAGACAATATGATGTTTACCCGTCTGGGTCCGATTTATTTCACTTATGAGTATGGTCTCTAGTTGCATTCATTTACCTATAAAATCCTTGAGTTTGTCTTTTTTAATACCTGAGCAATACTCCATTGTATAAAAATACCACAACTTTTTTGTCCATTCCTCAGTAGATGGGCATCTGGGTTGTTTCCAAGATTTAACTATAACAAATTGTGCTGCTATCAACATGGGTGCACATATATCGCTGTGGTATGATGTCTTTAATTCTTCTGGGAAAATACCCACAAGATGGGTAAAATGGGACTTCCAATCCCAGTTTTGTGAGGAATCTCCAAATTGATTTCCACAGTAGTTTCACCACTCTACACTCCCCCCAGCAGTGGACTAGGGTTCCTTTCTCCCCACAGCCTCTCTAGCATTTGTTATTGGTTGATTTCTTG